AAAAAAAAAGGATTCACAGGTCAAGTCGAGATTTATAGTCAGAGTACAAACACCATGCAGTGGAATGATGGACTGGAACAATAATAAATAAGTTGCTTATCATTCTTGTTAATAAAATATGTAGTTTACTTACAAAATCGTTTTCAGGCAAGGGTCAGAAATAGCATATCCATGTTTTCATTAACAATTCAGATATACTCAAGCCAGCGTAAACTACACTAAGATTGCGCCAAATGTATTTTATAATTTAATACTCATAGTCACCACAGATTTTATCATTCACGCGAGAAGAAAACAAGTATCTTGGTGTACTTCCCATATTTCTGCAGTAGAATCTGCCTGTGGGACAAGCGGAAGTTCCTATCACAACCAAAATTATTAAATTAAGAATTCCAACTTTTGCCCAAAAACAAGCAAGGGGTGGAACACCAAAAAGAGAAAGTGTACCTAAAAAGAAATCAAATGTAAAACATCGTTTAATCTCAAATTGGTTTTCAAATGAAACATAGCGTGTACTAGAGTGACCGGCGATAAAAGAAAGGAAATGCATGTGCTAAACTGCTAGTGAGAGTTACAGTCATCATCTGGAGTTTCATAAAGCATCACCTGCCTCTTAGCTTTTAAAGGATTCTGCAAAAGTAATATAGTATTATAGAGTCGGCTTGCATTTCCATTGTGCCATTCTTTGACATTTTGGATTTTTAGAACTTTGGTTTTCAGCTGGCAAAAGTGAATGACGTCATTTTCATTTACTTATTTCTTCATTACGGTTGTGTGGCTCAGCAAGCGTATTTATCAACTAGCAGCATTATTACACATGTTACAACATAATAGATATAAACCAGAGCCTACAACTGAAATGCAGGAAGCCCATCTAAACTAGATAGCAGTGATTTTAGGTCGTCCGATTAATCGCGATTAATCGCGATTAATCATCCTGGTCGCTCCCAAGTGCTCGATTAGGAGGTCCGACCCGACCAGCTCGACCAGAAACCTGGTCGTCCGATTAATCGACGATTAATCGCGATTAATCGTCCGACCACGACATATGGACGACCGGGACATATATTTGTCTTTTTGGGCTGGTATGTGGGCTACTGGGCTTGGCCTGTTTGGCCTGTTAGGGTTAGGATATATATAGGAAGGAGGCAGCTAGGGACAGCCCGATTAATCTAGCTGGTCGACGATTAATCACGATTAATCGTCTGGTCGGTCCCTGGTCGACCAGGTTCGACCAGCCGACCTGAAAACATTGCTAGATAGATGCCATGCCTGCTTGGGAAAATAAGAATTATGCATTTCACAAACTACTATATCATTTAATGGGTGCACACGGGTTCCATTTTTGCAGATTGAAGAAAATAAGAGGTAACTCCAATTTAGCGATTTGGCTGATTCGTTTTCCCCCAGATATAGAATCATAGCAAAGCGCACTTCCCTTTTCATGACGAATAGGAAGGTCCATGAAAAAACAAAGTATACGGTAAACAACAGTTACTAGATACACACTGCAAAGAAGTTCTACAATACTAAATTTTGCTCCCAACTAAACTTACAGTTCATAAGTGAGCATATCTAATGTTCACAGTTCGTATACAACAAAAATTCAAACATCCCACGCAATCGAGCAATCCCATGGTGATTCAAGACAAACTGCCTAATCAATTAGATTCATCAAATTACATAAATCCACCAAGTTCAAGTATCATACATTCATACTTCATATAGACTAAAAATTCAAACATCCCATACCATAGAGAAACCCCATGGTAATCAAGGCTACAATGCCTAATCAATTAGATTCATGAAAGTACATAATATCACCAAATTCAACTACCATACATTGAAGCTCCGCTAGAGCACAAAACCCAGCACTCAAGGAGAACTAATAGATCGCGCGCAAAGGAAAATGATTACCCGGCTCATCAGTGCCATCCGCGCAGTCGCAGAAATCGTCGTTGAGGCGGTCTCTGGCGAACCATTTCGAACCATCTCGGCACTCGATCATCTCCGCTTCATAGTACTTCTCATCTGCAATCGCCACACACGCGTGCCCCAATTCAATTTTTCGTGTGAGTATGTGTGTGAGGGGAGTGGGGAGGAAACCTGGGAGAGAGAGAGAGAGAGAGAGAGAGATTGACCTAGAGGGTGGACACCGATGAGCACGCGGGAAGGAGAGGAGTACGCGAGGTTGAAATGGAGAGAAATGAAGAGAAAGAAGACGAAATTGAGCGCCATTTACTATCCTCCGACAATGTTCAGCTGGTGGTATCCATGGCGGACGGCCGAAATTACGAAAAATGTTCTTTGAATTCAAGCTCTACAGAGCCGACGGTACAAACTTTCTACTGTTACGAGGCAATCATGAACTAATACTATAGCGGCCATTGGCGGACTTTAAGCGTAGAACTCGGAAGCCTGAACTGTGAACAGTTGGAAATTAGAATCGAAAGTTTTCTCAGTTGGAAATTGAACTATTATATATATCATTAATTATTCTACGGTTACAAATCTCAATTGAAGTGTTCCATAACATGATTGTAGCATTTTTCATCATTATATATATATATATATATATATATATATATATAT